AGAGAGAGAGAGAGAGAGAGAGAGAGAGAGAGAGAGAGAGAGAGAGAGAGAGAGAGAGAGAAAGAGAGAGAGAGAGAGAGAGAGAAAGAAAGAAAGAGAGAGAGAGAGAGAGAGACGGGGATATGGTGGAACAGTGTCTTCTTCTCTCTACCTTTTATGTAAAGTTTTGATTCCAACGTTGGTCAATTTTGTTGCCGCACCTTCGGATTTCTTGTGTGAATCATCTCGGACTATCTGCTTTGTGTGTATGTATGCATAAGGATGAATGAACTCACGTCTCCATTTTTTTTGGTTCCGAATTGTCCTTAATCTCCCATTTTGTTTTGCTCAAAACCAATTTCGTCACTTTTGAGTACCCGTCCGCGTTGCGCGTCTAATGACCTACGCGCGCATCTCGTCCAATCACTTGTTTTTGAGTCGCGCATGATTGCGAGGATCACAGGGTGCGTTGGATCTGGATGCCAAACTAACTTTGCCCTCTGTTGTGTATGATGGTGTGAGCATGTATGCAATGATTAGTTCTGCCTGAGATTTGGATAACAGTTGCACGAAAGGACTAACTGTAGGCATATAGGATAAACCGACAAGCAGGTAAATCACTCATTGGCAACGTGCTCCCACGCAGTCTCCGATCCGATCGGCCGGCTCGTGCGCACACATGCGTAAGGAAGCCGCCCCCAAGGGTAACATGCGGCCTACGCGCGCGCGTGCAAAAGCCCACCCGATCCCGCTCGTCGAGGGTGCCTGCGCTAAATTCCGCCAAATAGGATATGGCGATCGAAACTCGTTTCTGGATTACCGATCGCGAGAGCCTGAGATATCCGGAATACCGAGCGTATTGGGAAAGGGAACAAATCAGATGGCAACAGACCAGACGGCAACGAAACCTACGGAATCCTGAGTACCCCTGCCAAACTGGAAACGAGCAGCTGTGCAAGGGCGATTTCCAGCTGGCAATAAACCGAGACTCCCAAATCCCGGATTATCCCGACAGTCGAACCCAGCATTACCTTCTAACCCCGGGCTTCGTGGCCATCACCACTAACTTCCCTCCCTATTACATCGTCCTCCCGTACCACCAACTACTCGTCATCCCCTGGGAGTCCATAGCTCGATTTTAGCCCCGACCGCCGTGCTCAGAGTGTCAGCAGCACGACGAGTACCATCCGGCGGGGATCATTCGACGAACCCATTCCGAAACCGAACAACGAGAGCGCAGTTCGTCCTCACCAGCCCCGGAGACTTGCGTCGGCCGACAGCGGTACGAGCATTCCCACCGAGACACCCGTAGCGCCCCACGCGAGCACCATACGCGGCCCAGGCCGCGAGATCGGCAATCACCCCAACTCTGAGCCGAAGGAGACAATTGCACTTCTACCCCCGGAGCTTGACACAGGGAATTCCAGTTCCGACCTGGAACTCCACCCCCACTTTCCTAAAATCCTTGGCACACCCCTTTTCGCACTTCCAGGCCCACTACCACTCCGAAAACAGGTAGTTGCGCTGGGCGTGAGGTTGGTATCGGAGCCAACACGTGTCAAGACTCAAGATTGACAAAGGGCTTGACTCTTTTAAGCTCAACCGACCTGGCGACCCCAAAAAGGGGACGATCTGTGCAAGGGAACACGTCGGCACGCGAACCTATAGTAACAAGAAGCAGGTTTGCAGGCAGATCAACCGATAACATGAATCATGCCAATCAGGCCAATGCTAATCAAGCACAGGCTCACCAGGCTCAGGGAGGGGCAGGTAGCAGTCCAGTGCTCGCCCCCCAGCCCGCCCCTCAACCTGCACGTGTCCGCGCTCTGGCAGCCCCGCCAGACCTGTACTTGTTCGATCCAGCGCACCACTTGGCCGGAGCCTGGCTGGCTACCCCCCGAGCACAGCAGTATGATAACGATGAGGCAAGGATTAACATCCCCGCCCGGTTAGGAGGCGATGCCCACCACTGGTTCAGTACTTACGTATGGACTGATCTCCCTATCTTTGAGAGAAATTTCCTTCATAGATTCGACTACATCCATCCGGAGCAAGTGTTCTTCATGATCAAGGACCGAGTACATAAGCCCCTCGAATCTATCGTGGAATACCGCAGCCGATTCTATCAATTATTTGTAAAGTCGCAAAGGGACGAGAAGGTAGGAAGGAACTTCTTCATAGACGGACTTCGAAGTAGAGCAATACGAGTCAAACTGCGAAAACAGTTCTACCCCATCACCTTCACCATGACCCAAATCATGGACGCAGCCGAGGAAATGGAGCGAAAATTCGTTGCCAGCTTCCTCGAAGGAGAAGACCACGCTAAAGAGGGAGATCCTACGAAACTTACCAGAGCAAGGATGGAATTAGCAGCACTCCAACACAAGTTTGAAAACATAGGTTTTGTATCAGGTCCCGTCACCTACCTGGAATAGGTGGCGACCCAACGACCCCCTCCCGAACAAGCAGCAGGACCATTGGTGGCAAGAACGCCTGCTAAGACACCTGTGTCGGTGGGTAAGGCAGACGATTCAAACGCGATCCTGGACCTCACACGTACGTTAGTTAACCTCATGCAAGAAAGCAAGAAGGAGCAGCGCTAGTACAATACCCGAATGGAATCGTTGATGCGCTCCATGCGCCCCATAAATGTTTGCGCCACCCCATTCCCTACCGGAACCCCTGTTGCGGCAGCAGCAGCAGGAGCGGGTGTAAATACGGCCCGCAGAACGGACACGTGTTACGCGTGCCACCAGCCCGGACACATGGAAAGGGACTGCCCCCAGAGGCAGGTACGGATAGGAACAGCCCCAGTCGCGGCTGCACCCCTGGCTAACGGACCAGGCCGAGTAGGAATGATGGTGGAAGAGACCGATGGAGCTTTGGCCACTGCTGTCATGGTCGAAGAAGCAGCGGAACTGATCCCCCTTGATCAGTTTATATCGTCAGGCTATTCAGGATTAGGTATGATTGGGGCGATTCAACCGGCAAATGACGAACTTTCCGATTCTTCGGAACCCCCTCGGACTCTGTATGAGGGCACCACCCCGTTGCTTCCACGATATGTGGACAAACGATCCTTCTGCGACGTCACGGGCTTACCTCCCCGATCGCTTCTTACCATGGAAAAGGAGATACGATTGCTGCGTCTGGGGGCGGAAACACAGATTCCGGAACCCCCTGGATGCCCCGAAGCCTCGCCATTCGAAATCGGAATAACAGTTGTCGAGAAATCAGTAGACCCCTGGGACATTGCGGATGGGATAACCCCAGAAGAACACGTGGCCATCAGGGAAGGGGAAGCTCAGATGGTGGCCACTGTGTTCTCCTGGCGGTCGGATAATTCTTTCATCTCTTCCCCGCCGCCCCAAGACATGAAAACAATATGCACTAAGCACCTGACAGCCGTCATTCACAGACAACCCTATGAATTACACATACCGGAATGTGTGCCTGACGAAACCCACCAACTAATTGCAGATATCCTAACAGAGTATCGGGACGCTATCAGCATCAATGACGCGGATATTGGATTATCTCTGATAATCCAGCACGAGATCCAAACCGGCAACCACCCGTCGATCCATTGCAAACCTTATTGTTACTCGCTCTCGGGACGAAAGGCAGCACTCGAACGCATCCATGAGTTCGAGGCCAACAGTTGGATAGACACGGAGTCCGCTACGGGCCCTTGGTCTTTCCCCGTAGTTCTGGTCCCAAAGAAAAATGGGTCGATTCGCATATGCATCGATTAGCAGAAGTTAAATGATATCACGATCAAGGACGTGTACCCCCTCCCTCGGATTGACGACTTGATGGATGCGATTGGGTGTGTTAATTATTTTACTAAATTTGATATTCGGCACGGGTTCCGTCATATCCTCGTAAGGGAAGAGGATCGGCCGAAGACGACATTTGTACTATTTGAGGGCACGTGGCAATGGATCCGTTGTCCTATGGGTATATGCAATGCACCGGCAACCTTTCAGAGGGCGATGAACGTCACCTTTCAGAATTTCGTAAACAAGACCCGGTTAACTCAGAGAATGATCAATTTTTGCGTTATTGTGTATATGGACGACATTTTGGTGTATTATGAGTCGTTCCACGGACACGCGCAGAATATTGAATGGACACCTGGCGCGCTGCGGGATGCTGGTTTCAAGATTGCATTGGAGAAGAGCGATTTTTTCTTGTCCGAGATCTCGTTCCTAGGGTACGTGGTAACCCGAGGAGGCTTGAGACCGGATTCGAGGAAAGTCGAGACGGTTCGGGAAGCACCCACGCCCACCTCATTGATGCAAGTCCGAGCCTTTCTGGGACTGGCCTCGTATTACGGACGGTTTATCAAGGGATTTGCGGCAATCGCTCGGCCTCTGACGAACCTCCTACGGAAGGACCAGCCGCTGAACTGGGACCCGGAGTGTGAACGGGCCTTTTCCACTCTAAAGGAGGCCCTGACCTCCGCGCCTATTTTAATCCGGCCCGATCCCGAGCGGCAGTTCCTACTCATTACTGACTGGCAGCCCGAAGCCATCTCCGTTATCCTGGCTCAGAAAGGGAAGGACGGCCGAGAACACGTGGTCGAGTATGCTTTGCGGACGGTGCGGGACGAGAGAAAGAATGACTCAGCGCCTCAAGCGGAATGCTACGTTGTGGTCTAGGGTATTCAGCACTTCCACCCGTATCTCTACGAGCAGAAGTTCCTCCTCGTAACGGACCACGAGCCCTTGCCGACACTCAAGAAATTGACAAACTACACAGGAATGATTGGGCGATGGGTAGTGAGGCTGCAGGAGTACGATTTTGACATCGTCCATCGGAAGACGGAGAGACACGGAAATGCCGATGGATTGACACGTCTACACAAGCCAGGCAAGGTGCCACGCGGCGAGGAGATCACTCCGTGGAAGGAACCAGAGCAGCCCAAAGGACCCGGGTACGGCCAGGTGAGGGTCCTCCCTCGACAAACGAAGAAGTGACACGTATCCCCATGGCGGCCCAAAGGGAAGAAAATGTCGAGGGCATTCTCTCTCCTTCCCAATCGTTTTTGTCTTCTCTGTTTTCCTTACCCGATCGTTTTTGTCTTCTCTGTGAGTCTATCTCGCGAGTCCATTCCGTTTTGATTAAGCCGTAAAACAAGGGTTACGTTGAATGGGTAGAGTGTGCTAAGTGTGTGGCAAGAGCCCACGGGTCATGTGTTCATTATAGGAATCCCCAGAAGTAGTGGCTCTGCCATCTGTGCGGTACCGATAAGATTTCGACGGAGGCTCGATTCCTGGAGGCGACATCGGAAGGTCTAGAAAAGACACTAGAGTTTAGACGGGCAGAAGTATGGACAGGTGCCGCCCTAATAGCCACCGTTGTCGGGAATTCTCTCCGAGAATTCTCTAAGGAGGATCGAAGGCGGGCCAATGAGAGGGCACGAGATTATAGGTGGAGCGAAGGACGGTTAGAGAAAAGGAAAACGGATGGAAGCGGAATCTGGATGGTGGTACCGCACCCATTCGTGAGGTATGACTGGGTACGGGCTGCGCATGAGGAGACATCCGCACATTTCGCTGTCAGAATTACCGAGGCAGCCATCGATAAAAACAAATGGTACTGGTCCAATATCCGGGACGACGTTAAATTTATTGTTAAAAATTGTCTCGTCTGTGTCGTCGACAAAGCGCCGATTTAGCCACCTAGGTCGATAGTGCCCACTATAGTTCAACGGCCATTCCAGAGGGTTAGCATGGATACGATGGATATCATCGTGCCCCCTGGACCGAATAGTTGTGAGTATTCAATTCTTTTGGTATTTGTTGACCACTTTTCGAAGTGGATCGAGGCGTACCCCTGTCGGACAAGACAGACGGCGGAAATAGCGCGGTATGTCAACCGTTTCCTCGGGATGCATCAGGATACCGAGGAAATCCTTACGGACAATGGAGCAGAATTTCGAGGTGAAGTCCTGAGGAACCTGGTCGTACATGGGGTGTCTATTCGTAATACCGCCCCCCATATCTCTCAATCGAACGGCCTCGAAGAAAACGCCAACCGAGTAATTAAAACGGCACTCCGACGGAATATTGCAGCTAAGGACAAGTGGCAGTGGCCTGACATCGTAGATCACATCCTGGCCATACATCGAGGGACCCCGCATGAATCTACGTGACTTTCGCCATTTCAACTACGGACCAACAGCCTAGCTTGCGTCTCGATACCGAGCCTACATGATGAAACGACCCTTCCCCGAAGGGCCACTAGAGCGACGGTTAAGGACAAGGCCCAACGACATTTGGACTTGATGGAGACGGCCCTGCCCCGGTTAGCCCGAAAAAGACAGCGTATGATGGAACTGACCCATGGCCGACAGGTCCGAAGCTATGAGGCCCGGAATGGGAACGCAGGCCCCCGGCCCCAGTATAAATTAGGGGACTTGGTGCAGGTAAGGAAATGTGCTCGTCAAGGGAAACTAGCGCCACGATTCTTCGGGTGCTTTCGAGTGATTGAGCTCGGACCTAACGGAGTGAACACCGTGCGCCTCGCTCCCGAAGTGGCAGGCAGCCGGTCAGCTCGGCCCATACTCCGCCACGTGTCCTATCTCCGCCCTCTCTCTATTTCCTCTCCCCCCTCTCTAACTTGGTCGCCCTCGGAATCAGGATCCGCGTGGGAAAGCGATGCCCCCCAGTCTCATTCTTCTCTCCCTCCATCTTCTCCCTCCTATTCGCCATGAGGTTTTCCACGGAGCAGGTACTCAACAAGCGGATGTTAGCGCCACGCGGACACATCTCGGCGATCAGACAAGTTCATCATCCGCGTGTCAGCCCGGACGTCCTCCGATTTGCCCAGTTTTCAGCACGGCCAGTGTGTATGCAGCAACAGAGTTCCAATTCGTGATACCCAACAGCAAGGCACAGATGTTGGTCAAAGCATCGACCTTTTTGCGGCTCTCGGCACCGGGGACCAGCCACGTCTCGGCGATTGTCTCCTTTAGCAGAGATATCACTACGGTGGATCCGCGAGCGCATCCAAGCATCCTCGTCTCGGTGCGAGATTGGGGGGGAAGTTGGCGAGTTCTTGGAGTCAGATGCTTGCGCGACGGGGGGATAATGTGGTCAATACTAACAATATTGACCTGGATGGCATCTGCACTCTCCGACAGAATCCTGCGATATCTCTCCCTGCACTTACCATCTTCTCGCATCCCCAATGAACCATCACAGGTTCTCCACCTTCTGCCTCCTCTCTGCCGTCCCTGTTTTCTGGCAGTCAGCACTCTATCCCTGTCTCTCCTTACGAGTACAACCACTGACGGTCCCTCTTATTAAACCTGAACAGTGGCAAGGGTGGTGACAAACTTACGAGGCTCTATCTCTGTGCTTAGTCGAGATCAGGCTGAAGTGGACTAGAGACAACATTCACCCCGCCACGAACGAGGACGTGGAATTACTCATTATTCCGGCGTGGAGAACGGCGGTGGAAGGGGATTTATTGGGATTCGTCTTCAGGTCAGTGGAGGCAGGACATCGACAGCCGATCGTCGGGGAACTATTGATCCTCCTGACGCAGCTGCTGGACGATTTGCCGATTGACATCGTCTCGCATTGCGATGAGAGCCCGACGCCACATATTCTCTCGCGCACCCTTACGCCATATCTACAGCGGTCGGCGTGCTTGGAGGGCAATTGGGACAACCGTAGTTACCCGTCACATGGTAACTACCTAAACCCCCCGGAGATAATCGACCTTCTCTTCGCGGATCGAGGGGAGCAGAAGTCAGAAGAAGAAGAAGAAGAAGAAGAAGAAGAAGAAGAAGGGGAAGAGGGAGACGAATCGAAAAACACCCCCAAAGAGGACGAGTATTACAGCGAGCACAGTGAGCATGAGTCGGGGGCAATAAGCGAAGAGGAGGAGGAGGACGAGAGCGAGGAAGAAGAGGCGAGACAGGCGAGAACACAGGAAGTGAACCCTGCTGAAACCGAGCAACGCCGGACACAAATTGCGGAGGGAAAGCATACGTTGGGATTGATTTGCCGATCCTGGACGATCCGACCTGAGATCCGGAGCCGTCAACGGAGGAAGATGAGCGTTGTGCCCTAGAAACTTCGAGCGCGCTGACACGGAGGCAACGAAGCCGATCCCCCTCCCCCTCCCCCCGTCCCTCAGTTCGAGCACGTGCCGATGCGGGGCATCGGGTTATGTCCCTGGTAATTATCCCGTCGTCCCCTTGATTACCTCACACTTTGGCAAATCGACACCCCGCTCGCTTTTCCCCATAATCCTTTCTCCTCCTCCCTCTTCTACCAATTTTACGCCACCCGCCTCGCCGCCACAATGTATCCGCACCCCACTACTCAGTGCGTCTTTTCCTCCTTTTGCCTTCACATCCTTCTTTTTAGCGCCGCATGGCGGGATCACAATGTGATCGAAGTTTACTGCGCAATCACAGGGACTGTCCCTGTGTGTACAGACCACGAGCAGTTCTGTGCGGCTGTGCTTCGTACCTTTACCACCCTCTATCCTGATTACCTTGCTTCCCTTCCCTATGGCAGCCGTCGTTTCCCGCACATACACCGCACCATCCGATACCTTGAACTTCCCGCAACGGTAGCAGGGATGGCAAGGTTCTTACCCGCACTCCCGAGAGAGCATCCCCCACCCCCCGCACCCGCATTCCGACTCCCTTACCCCCCTCCCCCGGAACACTAAAAATGGGTGCAAGGATCAGGACGTGTCAACAGGATGACTTCCACACTCTTATCCTACGGTTATAACACGTGCACCTTGGAGAGATATGAGTGCAAGCGGGAGCTTGCACAAGATTGGAACCCCCTGGGCGTCACATATGTGACGAACTATCTTCTATAACCGCACGACTTCCTGCGCGAGGCTGCTGTGGGAAAACAGGAGGGCTTTGATGGGTGACGGGCGTAAGCGGGGATCGGTTGGGCAAGTTGCATGGATGCCCTCGCTTCCTTTTGTTTTATTGGAGTTTGTCGGACCGGTGCCGGGAAAGTTCCTCGCTGACGATTGAGTGACCGCACCCTAGCGAGCGCGAAAAATAACGGTTGCCATAGCTTTTTTCTTGTTATGCTTAGAGCACCAGGAATTTTACCGCGATTAGCGCGCGGGAATTTTTGTTTTTTGAAATTCGAACTAATGTCGAGGCCCTGCACACTCTCGAAATTGTTTTTTTTGCTCTTTCAAAATTTTATTTTGCAATAAGGATTTAGACTAGGAATTTAGGCACCTTGCAATTTTGCTGCACGACGCTTCTTGCTCGCACGTGCCGTGCCTCGACAGGGTTTGGGCTCTAATTTCCATCCGCGTCTTCATCCTGTGTGTAACTGTAGCTTTTGGCGGGCGCAATCGCAAATGTAATCTTCTTGTTCTTGATGACCTTTGTGTTTCTCTCTTTCCCACCTCGTCTTCGTAGGCACCCTCTCCTCCTCTATTGTAAGAGGTTCCCACGATGCATGACGGATCGATGCGCGGAGAATGGCTCCGTCCCTCGCGCCGCGGCCTGGACGTGCAGACGTAGGCACTTCCCTTCTTCTCTTTCTCATCACTTGGTGTAAATCCCGTATCCTTCGCGCAAGCATGCATGCTATAAATTTCGCAAGCGCGATTAGCTGTCTCTCTAAGAATCTCGAGGTTAGCGCGATCAGTGAGGGTCGGCTAACGAGCAAGTTTGGAAGGTGAGTGAGTATGAGAGTTGGCCGATCCGACGAGCTGGTGCTGAGTGCGCGGGGTTCACGCGTGGTCACGAAGGACTATGGCACGTGGGCGAACCTGGCTTGCACACTCAGGCCAAGCGGGGTGACGACTTTGTGTAGCTTCGGAGATGCGGGGCGACGGACTGCCCGCATCAAGCGAAGAGAGAGAGAGAGAGAGAGAGAGAGAGAGAGAGAGAGAGAGAGAGAGAGAGAGA